TAGTGTTTTACATAAATTGTAATTTAAATTTATAGTTTACTAAAACCAAAAAATTAATTTATTAAAATTACTTATGATAAAAAACAATAAAATTTTGAATTCATTAACTTAATACTCAACTAAAAAAATTCTATAAAAGTTTCAAAAATGAATAGATTTTAATATTTTATGGCAAATTTTATTTGAATAATAGATTTTCGACCTAGTTATGTGTATAATAATTGTAGATTTTTATTCTACTTAAAATTAAATAATATATTTTTTCAATTAGTGATGGCTTTTAGGTTAAAAGCAAGTAACCAAACATTTCTTTAAGAAATTTTCCAATGAATCAAACTTAGAGTCAATTACTAATTAAATATTAATTTATTTGATTGATTGGTAATAGTATTTTGAATTAACATTTTACAGCAATTAATGCAAAAGTGGAGCTAATAATCAGTTATATAATAACTAACAGACAAATAGACAAACAAAAGCAACAATTATTTAATAAAATATAAGGAATGACTAGTTTTGTGAGACTGTCTGCCAAATCCAAGCGGAGAAAGTGGACGTCCGGGCGCTGACCGATGGGTAACTACCGGCGCACTGAACACCGAAGGATGTGGCGCCGTATGAGTAGTATTTGCCGCCGACCTGACAGTTGAGCGGACCACCTGAGTCCCCCTGACAGGTTCCCTTACCTTGCTCACCGAAACATATGTGTGCCTCGGTGATACTGGTGACGAACAGGTATTTACTTTTACACGACGATTGTGTAGTGATATCAACCTGCACTTTCTGGAGTATAGGCGCCACCTGACCCTCTATTCGGGGTATTTAATTGATAGTAACTAGTTCATAATCATTAATATAGTAATGTATAGCTCGTACGCCATTGGGTGTGACCCCATCCCGTGGCCCAGCATTTAGTGCCCACAATATTATCGACGGCCTGTTGGTCCGGAAGACATACGGGTCTCACGTGACTCTCATTACCACTGAAACTGATAGGACGGGACAGTTTGAGAAGTGCCACGTCGTTCACAATCTTACTGGTGTCCCACGAAGGGTGTTGAATGACCTACAGGTGCCACATATTAATAGCCCATTAATTAATAAAAGTGTGAACTATTTTTATAAATGTTTATACATTATGCAAAAGATATGCAAATTTTTATACATTTTATATCGAAATTATTTAATTTGTAAATCAATTACACTTTTTATTATAAAATGTGTCAATTGATAAGAATATATTAATTTATGTTTATTTAGGAAATGACTTAAATATAAAAGATAATTGAAAGCTCTGAGCTATCAATCAAATTGTATTACTGTATATTAATTTAATGAAAGTCTTATTAAATTATAATAGGTTGAATAAATAGTTGTCTACAAACCTTGATGACATTAATAATGGCTTCTTTGCCCTCGGGTTTAGTCCTATCGTGTTCTCCGACGACACACCTATACATCGCTCCGTCGAGACTCCGGTCCACACAATGGGCTGCAGTTAACACCCATTCGTCGCTAATAACGGACGCGCCTATAGTTTAGTGCAAATTATTTACTCAATTTATTGTAACAAACAATTATAATTATATAATGCAGTCGACTACTGACCACAAGTGTGATACCAGCCCACTTCAGCACTGTTATACTCAAGAGAGACCTAAATATTTGATTAAACATTTGAATTACAAAATAATTGAATGCGAGAATCATTAAGTTGATGGCATACCTGCCACGGAAACTCTTGGGGGTTAGCGTTCACACCTCCCACCACATAGTGACTCGAATCGTCATTCACTTTGGTTACTATTAAATCAATTCATTTTAGTAAAATAATTAATTGTCATTCGTCTGTATATGACATACCCTGTTGGCCACAAAGTGCGTGATTGGCAGCAAGAGATGTGCCAAACACACCACAAATGACTAGAAATACAAACATTTCTCTCATTGTAACGATTGGGACAATAATCCATCACTTATTCGTCTTTAAATACTTTAATGTTATCACAATTTGTTCATAATTTATGACATTTTATTCAAAATTGTTATATATTTTGTACTTTAATTACCTTAGTAATAAATTTTCAATTTCTAGTATTCCCTTGCTAATACCAAGTTCTAAATAATAAATTAAGATAAAATTAACAGATTTATAAAGTTTTAGATTATTTATGGCATTTGTAATGAATTACTCATTTAAGCAAATTTTTTATAGGTTAAGCATAAAAAAGTTGCAAAAGAACTAGATTATATTTAGTATAACTTTATGATACACTTAATTCAATTTAACATAAATAAATTAAACGTATTAATCAATTTACTATCACTTTTAATTCATCAAGTAAAGTGTTTATAAAGACATATATGATTAGAAATGTATTTCAATTCCTGTTTTTCGATAAATTAAAATTCTTTTTAATTAACAAAATGTTTTTATTTCTATACTATAAATGTTCAAACTTACAAATATCATATAATTGATATTCTCAATATCTGTCAATTATATGATATTGGTAAGTTTCAAATTATACTGGAGTGTTTACCCAATTTAATTCTTGCTATTATTTAAACTCTATAACACTTTAATTAAATTATTTATTATCACTAATCTTATAATAAATTTTATGAGAACTGGAAAACCACTCATTTATTTCATATCAATTACATCTTTATTAATATGAATGGCTTAATAGATAATCCGTTTATTTCTTTTTTGATAACAATTTATAAAACAATTTGTGATTATTTCTCAAATACAGTACATTTAAACAATTAGTATACGGGTAATATTGCAGCATATCTGCATAATACAATGTGATCGCCATAGTATGTGTCGGCAAATACTACTCATACGGCGCCACATCTTTCGGTGTTCAGTGCGCCGGTAGTTACCCATCGGTCAGCGCCCGGACGTCCACTTTCTCCGCTTGGATTTGGCAGACAGTCTCACAAAACTAGTCATTCCTTATGTTTTATTAAATAATTGTTGCTTTTGTTTGTCTATTTGTCTGTTAGTTATTATATAATTGATTATTAGCTCCACTTTTGCATTAATTGCTGTAAAATGTTAATTCAAAATACTATTACCAATCAATCAAATAAATTAATATTCAATTAGTAATTGACTCTAATTGTAAGTAACACCACAGTATGTTACCTATTCGAAGCATACCTGTAGTAATATTAACTTCTATCATTGCCTTAAGATTGTCACTATATTTGATAATTTCATTGACAAGTTCATTGAATAAATTCAATTTATTATTAGACTTATTATTACCGGTATTAAATTATAATTCATACAATATTTTAAATCAAACTAATTTTCATTATTTTTCCAATAAGTACAAATCTGAATAGTTAGAGCAGGTATATATACTATTAATGTTTTAGTTAACAAAATTAGTCAACATTTGCAAACAACCCTATATTTTACTTTTAATAATTCATTTAATATAAATACAATATTCTGTGATAAGTTAGTTTAAACTTTAAATTTTGTGTTTTGACATTAAATCTCTTAAAATAAATTTTTATTTTATATTATACTTTTGTCATGCTTGATGTTATATCAATAGATTTTTTCAAATTAAACAAAAACTGCTAAACTTATTTTAAACAAGAATTTAGTAAAATTTTTTTTATTCAATCATAAGTTATAATTGGATTATAAACTTTGATCTCATTTATATTGCATTAAATAAACATTATTCTAATCTATGGATAAAAAAAAGTTTTATATATCCTTACAATCAGTAAAATAAACAAAACCTGCATTCAATTGTTAAGTGCATCCTTAAAGCAAAGTATCCTGGTGATTTAAATTACTTCTCAATATCTGTCAATTATATGATATTAATAAGTTTCAAATTATACTTGAGTGTTTACCCAATTTACCCAGTTTTTGGTTTTACCGTAATTTGAATGAAAATTAATTTCCAATTGATATGACATTAGGAACACATCACTCGCAAAGGACTGGAAGCGATATCACCACTCAGTGCACGCGATGATAACGTCCCGCAACTGTTTGTCGAGAACTTATAATTTGAATGAAAATTAATTACCAATTGATATGACATTAGGAACACATCACTCGCAAAGGACTGGAAGCGATATCACCACTCAGTGCACGCGATGATAACGTCCCGCAACTGTTTGTCGAGAACTTACTGCAAGTCCACAAACAGCACTTGAATCTAATCAAAGAGGTCTTCAACGGCGACCAGTCATTCATCGGTGCCTTAGATAAGGCGTGCGCTGCCGTTATTAACCATAGGCTGAGCCTTAAGCTTCCCTGTCGTTCACCGGAACTGTTGGCCCGTTATTGCGATGGTTTGCTTAAAAAGAGTGTCAAAGGTTTGCACAAAATATAACTCTTTTTAAGTTTCGATAATTTATTTGTTGTCCACTTAAAGGCAATAATGAGTCGGAAATTGATGACAAACTGAGCGCTTGTATCACAATATTTAAGTACATCGACGACAAAGACGTGTTTCAGAAGTTTTACGCCAAAATGCTGGCCAAACGACTCATACACTCGCAGTCGGTGTCGATGGACGCCGAAGAAGCGATGATCAACAAACTGAAACAGGCCTGTGGTTACGAATTCACGTCCAAATTGCACCGTATGTTCACTGATATCAAAGGTATGGCACTAGACATCGACACATGATTTGATTGATTTGTAGTTTTATTAAATATATTTGATTTTTATTTATTCAAACAGTTAGCGACGACTTAAATAACAATTTCAACGACTATTTGCGCCAAAATACGCTGGAATTAGGCATAAATTTCAACATATATGTGTTACAGGCGGGCGCCTGGCCTCTGAACCAGTCGGCGCTCTCGACGTTCGCTATCCCACTGCCCCTCGAGAAGAGTGTGTCGGCCTTCGAGAAGTTCTATGCGTCGAAATTCAATGGGCGTAAACTGACCTGGCTACACCACCTCTGCCAAACTGAACTCAAGTTCGGGTTCACTCGGCGGACATACTCTGTGGTGATGGGCACCTATCATATGGCTATCCTATTGCTGTTCGAGTCGTCCGATTCCCTCCATTACATGGAATTACAGGAAAACACGAAACTAACGGACGAACAATTGCAAAGACATTTGCAGTCATTAGTCGACCACAAGATTCTGTTAGTCGACGGCAGCCATAAGTCCAATGAGTCGGCCGACGAGGAATCCAATACTCAGTCGTCGAGCGCGTCGTCCACATCTCAGTCGACGTCCCAATCGGTCGATACGATCTATACATTGAATTTGAATTATAGTAACAAACGAATGAAATTCAAGATAACAGCCGTTCAGCAGAAGGAAGTGCAACAGGTTTTGGTAGGTTTTGTGCACTTGTTTGTGTCCATCCCTTGTGTCCATCCCTTGTGTCCATCCCTTGTGTCCATCCCTTGTGTCCATCCCTTTGACTCATTGATTGTCTTTTGGTGAACAGCAACAAGAAGTGGAACAAACGCACGCATCGGTCGATGAGGACCGCAAGCTATACCTTCAGGCGGCTATCGTTCGCATCATGAAAGACAGGAAAGTCTTAAAACACAACCAATTGATAGAACAAGTGATAAATCAGTCGAAGAATCGGTTCACACCTTCCGTTCAGATGATTAAGAAGTGTATCGAAGCTCTGATGGAAAAACAGTATTTAGAGAGAAATACCAGTAATACAGACGAGTACTCGTATATCGCCTGAGTTTTCAAGTTATAGTCTATTAATCCTTTCTATTATACGATTATACGATTAGTTTTCATTAAAATCTTAAGAAATAATTTAAGTTTTTCCTCAACTCTTGTTTTTAATCTATTTAAAGATATATAAATAAATTATTTTTATTTACTTATAATTTATTCTAAAATGGACCGGATATTCGTGATTATCTCATAAGTATGCAAATGCGGTACTTATTAAATATCATTTACAGTATAAGACTACATAATTTACTACGGTACATTGCAAAAGCGTTACTTTCCGTGGGCTTTCAGCCCATTCCGGTGATAAGCATATACTTACTCTATACTTAATCCATATCCAGGCACTAAACAAACAATACTGTATATTGATTTGCTTATAAGTTTATAATAGAGCATTGCTTTTATCCTGAATGTGAACCCAAACCACGGAAAGTAACGCCACTGGTACATTGTGATTACAGTGTCATTTAAAATATACTGTACTAATTGTAAGGTAAATAAATCTTAAAACTTTTCAACAAAAGTAATAAAAACTGAACAAAATATGGTTACAAAATAAATAACATAAAAATCAAACGGTTCCAAAGGGGTTAAGCTCCTTCAACTGCACCGCCTTTCCTATAATCAGAATTGGCGTACAGTTTTCCGTTCTCTTTACTGATGGCGATAATGACGGCACCCCTGTCCCCTTCACTCAATTGTTTCACTACATGTCCCTTTGCTTTCAATTGTTTCAATATATTTTGGGGAAATTGTTTCTCATAAATGATTTCATCGGCAAACAACTGGTGGTGTAGTCTCTGGCTATCGATCGCTTGTTTGATATTTTCGCCAAACCATAAGTTCCTCATTGAGACGGACGCCACGGCTGTCGTGATCTTTGGTCCACCACTTCCGCCGATCACGAGTCGTAAGCCTTTACATCAAAATAAATCATAAATAAAAGAATCGAAAAACATATCAATTTCAATATACAGTGGAATCTATATTATACTTTAGATACTGTACATACCGTTAGTATCGGTGAATATTGTCGGACACATCGACGATAGTGGGCGACGACCCGCTGTCACCCAATTTGCATCAGAGTCTGGAATACCAAAGTCATTGGTGGCACCGGTAGTAAAGTCATCCATTTGATTGTTAAATAGGATTCC